TCACAGGACAGATTAATCACTTTTGGAGGCTGGCTCCATTTATCATCAAAACAAAAATAAATGACAGATTAGGTGGATGAGGGCGAGGGTGATCCTCGCTCCGATGCGGGACAACAGGTCATCAAGCTGGGCGCGGGACAGGCGGAAGTACCGCTGACAGCGGCCGTCATCCAGGCGCAGCTCCTGGAGCGAGCAAATGGTGAAACTCGCCACACTGGGTTCGCCTTTGAAGGGTCTGGTGGACACAAATACGGCGACGATGACCCCTACGCCGCCGTTCTGCTCTCGTATTCAGAATATATGCTATTCAGAGCAAATACAGAGCGGTGACTCTCTCGATGAATGCTCGATCAACATAAAAAAAGATGGCCGCCAACGGGTTTCGATTCAGAAAAAACCTTGGGAGAACTGATCAGTGATTAAAGTCTCCATGAAATCAAAACATTAATCAGTACAAAAGGGGTGGTTGATTATGATTTCACTGTTTGAGCATAAAAAACATCTGCAAAGTTACAACGCTCAAAGTTCAAAGCAAAGGGGGATATTTTCTTTTAAAGAAATTGCTTTTTAATGCTACGTTCACACCGGACGCGAATAGCGCGTCAAATTCGCGCCTACCGCGTCTAGTTATACGCTTGACCACTTTGAATCCATTCGCGGTGTGAACGTAGCATTAAAAAGCAATTTCTTTAAAAGAAAATATCCCCCTTTGCTTTGAACTTTGAGCATTGTAACTTTGCAGATGTTTTTTATGCTCAAACAGTGAAATCATAATCAACCACCCCTTTTGTACTGATTAATGTTTTGATTTCATGGAGACTTTAATCACTGATCAGTTCTCCCAAGGTTTTTTCTGAACTGTATTATTAAAGGGATACTTCACCGATTAGCATTAAGCTTTGTATCAGTAGAAAACCGGTTAGAATTTTCGAATGGCCGTGCTTCCCTCCCTCATGTCCCCCTGAGACGAGAGATTTCTGTATTGTGTGTCTGGAAAAAAACCGATGACGCAAAAATCGTCATTTAGCGTCATCTGAGGCTTTTTTGGCCAGAGGCTAGAGACTACAGCCAGTAGTAGGAGCTAGTTCCGCATGTTCCGCACTCACAGAATGTACAAATAGTGTCAGCCATCTTTAAAGTCCCACTCCGATCATATTTTGAGCTATTTTTAAACATTCCCAGTGGTCTTTAAATTATGATTATGCCATTTTTAGCCAAAATCACAAAACCTGTGCCGGATACCTGCCAACTTTTGAGTTTTGCTCGGCGTGAGATTTGTTGACGGGGGGGGGGGGGGGGGGGACACGAGTGAGATTTGTTGACGGGGGGGGGGGGTCTCGCTCGCGCAAGGTCTCTCGCTCGCTCTACGCGGTTTGGAGCACAATCTCTGTCTCGCATGCACGCTCGCTCTAGATAACGGGAGATTTTTAACGAATTTGCGGTATAACTAGTCGATCACGAGTGGCTCAACAGGTAGATATATAGATAAACTCATCTTCCAGGCATTTGACCGCCCGGGTTGACACTTCAGCGTGAGAAATCGGGAGTGTGGCGTGTGAGCGTGTGAAACCAATCAAATGCGGGTGTCTCACGGCCAATGCGTGAGAGTTGGCAGCTATGCGGGACTTCGCTTCAGCAGAGCGGCAGTAGCTCATTAGCAATTCGCCTCTGCGTTGTGGGCGGAGCCGTTGGCACGGAGACGACCCTCCCCCTGCCCGTTGCTGAGAGCTCTGTCTCTCCCGCTAGCTTACACCCCCAATACCGGTGGGGCAACAGTATTATATACACGTTAATTATTATTATCCGAAGTTAATCAAAGTTATCACCGATCATTATTTCACTCCAAGACGTCGCGTGTGGAGACGCCCAGTGGAGTTACTACGTCACAACTCCAGTCTATTTTAGCCGGCATTTTAGCGTCTGCTACTGATTCACAGCCATTTGAATGTAGAAATACTCAGAAATACAACTTTGAGCTTATTTTTCTCAAGATATGTCCTCTAACATCAGAAAAATGCCACAAGAACATGTTAACACCTAGAAAAACATTATTTTCATCGGAGTGGGTCTTTAAGCTAAGCTAACAGACTCTTGCTCTGTGGAGAAAGTTTAGGCAGAAGGGGATTTTGAAGATCTGGTGCGCGAATCCGATGCTCGTGGCTACCTGTACAAGCCACAATGCAGCGAGGAACAGTTGCGGATGAAGGAACAAGAGGCGGCCGGAGGAGCTGCTGCAGCAGAGGAGTAGATCTGTGCTTATGGACACGGATAGAGAGTCCTATTGCTGTCGCGAATTTCAGCGATGCATTTCTTCAGGAAGAAATCGCTGAATCTGCTGAGGAAACGGCACCGCCAGCATGTGTAACAGATCACCCTAGCTTTGATCCACACATGGATCTATCTATCTGTAACCAGTAGGGGTGGCTTGGGAGTGGCCTTGTAGGGCAGCGAAGCAAGTGCATTCTGGGAGTTGTTGTCTTTCATCCACATGAGCCAAAAATACATTTTCTGGCTTTTCTCAGTCTAGAAAGCACCAACCTTTAAAATAATTTCACATTTCTACTACATAAACGACCCAATTTAAATACACATTCATCTTTCCAGCGGTGAAATAACCCTTTAAGGCCCAGGTATACTTCAAGCGAAATCGAAGAATGAACTGATGTGACGTCATTTTGAACAAAATCAGGCCAAATCAAAGGTCGTTTGGAGTTTGTTTTGAGAGTTCGAAACAGCTTGCTAATGCGAACTTTCTGGAAAAGTTTGCTCCAGCTGCTAAACACCTTCATACTACCATTGCTCCATGGTGATTACGTAATGGGTAGGTGTGCGCCTGGAAGAAGGCGCACACCTACGACGGAGGCTCCGCCTTCTTTCACGTGTAAATCTTTTCTGATTCATTTGGTCTGTGCAGTCAGTCAAGGTCAGATGTCCATGAGTGAAAACATGAACACACTGGAGAGAGCTGCTTTATATTAGAAAAATGCAGTTGTACTTCTGATGAAATGAGACACTGACACTGTTTTTCATGTTTAATACGGTAAAGCTGCTTGATTTTAAGCTATCTAGTGTATAAAGTAGTGCTGTCAAACGATTAAAATATTTAATCGCATTAATGTCATAGTTAACTCGTGATTAATCGCATTTTTATCTATTCTACATGTCTCTTGATTTCTTTTTGTCCCATTATTTTTCACATTTTAATGCTCTTATCAACATGGAAAACTGGATCAGCTTGCTTTGTGCAAATGTTTTTTTATTGAAAACAACATTGACAATACTGTGTTCAATTTCACACTTACATTCTCACTTGGAGCAAATAACCTCTCACACAATGTAACACTGTCCATCAATAAAACGGTGAAAGAAATACTGACGAGGTCCTGATATTGACGAGGTGGCGGAGAATTCGCATCAGCTGTGTGTGTGCTTGGCCATCAAGTGGTATTTCAGACTGGACGTGCTGCGATGATGATAGCTCAGTTCACAACGACAAAACACACAGATCACTTTGGTCTTGTCAATGGAACCATTTGGCAACTTTTAAAAGTAAACTTTCCATTCAGAATCTTATTGGCATCCATTTCGGCGTCTCGCACTCGTCATCCACTCAAAACGTAACGTTAACCAACTATTTGGCCGGCTCGCAAGGCCAAACAAGTGTGTGCGGCGTGCCTGTTGTTTTGTGTCCGGTCTAGCTAGATCCGCTTGCGCTTTCAAAACGTCCTCGCGTTGCACTATAAAACCCATTCATTTCAATGGCTTGCGCCGTGCGAGGACGTTTTGAAAGCGCATGCCGCATCCTGTTGCAAAAGCATGTGAAAAAAAACTACAAAGTTTGCTAGGCCAAAAAGACCGTTAATCGCGCGATAAAAAAAATGAACGGCGTTAAAATGGGTTTGCGTTAACGCCGTTAATAACGCGTTTAACTGACAGCCCTAGTATAAAGTGATATATAAATAAACGTGACTTCACTGAAGTGCCGTAGAACTCATGCAAACATAACCACGTTGCTATAATCAGATGCTTTAAAAATGCTTTTTTTTTTAAATGTATGCAGTTCTCTCAATTTTCTTGTGCGTGTATTTTATTGAGAGGAAAGCGCCACATATTTACATATTCATCTAACCTTCGGATGTTCGGTAAGAGTATATATCGCTGCTTGCGGATTTCGAACTTCGCTGTTACTTCTAAACGAAGAACGAAAAATAACTTTGCCGTGAGTATATCGGGGCCTTTATACTTCTCTGTTTTTAAACTGAAGGAAAATAAAAAATTTCTATTTCTTGGTATTTATAAAGGAACAAATATGGAGATGGAAAAGTCAAATTTCCTGGAATTACTGGAGCAGCAGAGGTTCATTGCAAGTTTATTTTCCATTACCTGCCGCATACATTCCACCGAAGGGTCAGAGCGAGTGGGTGTGCTGAGGTTTGATGAGAGCCAGGTTCAACACAGACAGCTCCCTATCTAGTGTTCAATTATAGTGAACCATCTCCAAACTTATGGCCCTGCCCTGGGATTACGCCTCATATGGTCTCTTTTATTAAATAAATAGACTTGAGTTGACATTGAATATATTTAGACAAAAAAATAAATAATTCTGAGCACACCACTATCAATCACTTCTTTTTTTCTAAGGGGAAATCCTTTTTTCCGTCTGTGAAAATTCCTCCCTGTATATTTCACAGCTTTGCATCTGCAGAGCACAATCCTGCACAACAGGTGTGAGAGAAACTAGGTGGAGCTGTTGCCATGGAAACCAGTCACACATGGATGAACTTTGGCATGTAAATGTTATTTCTCTAAAATGAATTCCCAGATCCAAACATGTGGAAACCATTTGTTGCAGTCCGGCCATCGCTGATGCAGGGAGCATTTCTATCTACTGTGGTCATGTAATCACCACATGAAAACAAACTTCTTGCTTGTACTGCAGGGGATGTCTATAAGAGAGGTCAAGAAGAACTGATATTATCTTTTAGCAGAGGTTTTCTTACCGTACAGAAAGACCCATTTCTGTGAAGCATGTTGGCATAGTGTTTGGTAAGCATGGAGGCTGGCTACAGGTGTCATTCGGATCCAGGTGGCTGAATGTCCAAATGGCATTTGGATTCTGTCATAGTACCACAAAACCCTGTTAACAAAGAATAGGGATGTGTTAAAAATATTGATTTCTAGATTTTAATCAATTCTCATTTTGATGAATTGATATCAAATCTCTCATAACTCCCAAGAATAAATATTTTAGACTATGCCGTTTTCACAAGCTTTGTTCTGTGTTACTTTTGATATATAACAGTCAAATTAAATAATATGTTTATTTTATTACAAAATTCAAACAATAAATACCATTTTGGTGCTGTTTAATGTGGTGTGACAGATCACTGTAGCGCCTGAGTACAAGCGAGGTAGCAGAGGGGAGCGCAGATGGACTGATTATCTCTTCCTCTTTACTACTAGTTACAGCACGAAATAGACATGCATGAACATAAGAAGGTACATGGAAAGAAACAGTACAACTTGCTGAAATCTATCTATTTGTATTATCCAGTGAGCCTAACCTATATAATCAGAATAAGCTTTATTGTCAGGTATGTTTGCACATACTAGGAATTTGTCTTGGTGACCGAAGCTTCCACAGCACATACAGAATGACAGTGACAAGAGACACAGATAATAAAAATATATAGAAATATAAAACTACACAATATTCAATATAGCATCTCAGACGAAGTGCTGTTATGTCACAGACAGAACTTGTTTTGAAACATAGATACTAGTGGGTAGTGGTCCCATCCACAGTAACATCTCAAAGGTCCAAAATCTGGTGCCACTGGAAATTCAACTTCAAATATTTGATATTTCAAATATAATAATTTTGTTGATACTGTCAGCATTTCAATTTCCGTGTGAAAAGGAACATTTCTTGTTGCCGAAAGTGTCATGGTGCACTTGCTAACAGTGCAATCTGCAACATTACTTCATTAAAAAGATTAATGGGATGGAGCGGAGGAGAGTAGCTGAAGGGAGTGCAACTAAAGGGTGTGTGTTTTACTGTGTACAATGATTTTTTAGATATATTCTTATCCATAAATGTAATAAATTTAAAGTCAAGCAAGTATTTAGATTTGCAAAACATCCTAATAGAAAGTGAGTCAGTGTTAGACTTCAACAAGCATGTACACATGTGCAGCAAGCCCAAACAAAGTTCAACAAGCTGCACACTGTAACTTTGACTAAAATATGAATTATTAAAATTAACAACATAGGCCTATTTGTTGTTGGACATTTTTAAAATGTGATTAAACCAATGTGATTAAAATCATTTTGATTGGAATAATTATATTATTAGAAGAACTTTAACAGAATAATCATAACATATGTGATACAGAACTGAACTTCCTGTTCAGAAGACCTCTGAAACTCTAACATTTGTTTTGTGGCTTTGTTTGCCTTTATTATCTATAATTTAGTGACTGTCTTGCAGCTTTATGTGAACAAAACATTTTTTGTTTGTTTCGCGCAGCATACATTTATATTTGTTTTTATGGCCAAATTGCACATTGTTTGGAGAACACTAGGCAGGATGTGGAAACACTGAAAAAACAGAAAGGTGTTCATCTGATGCTGCACGAAAAACTTGAACGAATTACCTGACAATATTTAAGCAGACAAAAATAAGTATCCTTTGACAAGTAATTAAGCTTTTTGGTTACTTTGGTTGGGTTAACATGATCATTCTGGCTTTTTTTTAAGCAGAACAAAAAGACTAAAGTTTATATCTAAAATCTGCCACAGAGTGGAATTAGACTAGCCTAGTTATTTTACAAAGAGAAAAGTGCTGGTATAGACCTTATGTGGGCCTGCCCCTTTTCAGCGTTTGTATTTTCACAGCATGAAGGAAAGATCTTACGGGTTTATGAATGAAGTGCTTGTTTTAAAATCTTCCCGGTCTAATGACATTTGTTGACATCCACTTTAAACATTACAATGCTCATGATGAAATGTGTTAATTCTACAACAAGTAAATCCACTTCACCAGCTAATTAGGCTACTCTTCGACAGCAATGCCATAGAAATATACAGAGTTAGCGCAAAAAGTTCAAACACAAAATTGTAAAGCTGGCTGCGCGCTTGCTTCTCTAACTAAGGCATAAGGCCTGGTGTGATGGCATTCCAAGACACACAAGATGTTCATCACATGGCATTTTATATTAACAAAAAATGCACATGTAATTACATTTTCTAGTTCTCTACAAAATTAAGTTTCCTAAATAATATGGGAAAACAAGTTTTCTAGCTCATTACAAGACCAGACACAAGTCTTTTTGGTTGTCTTCTTTGCACTAACCCAACCCATCATTGAATTCACCCTATCCGGTGCCACTCTAAATAATTTACTCCGATAGCCAAGTGTATTTAAAGCAGATCAATACCATTAAAGGACAGCTGGGGCATACTGAATAAACAGAGACCACTCTCCAGCACTACACCAAGCCCCCACTGCATAGCTTTATCCAATCTATCTTTATCTGATCTGCCATCACACTAACCAACAGTGGCGTAGAAAGAGTTAAAGAAATCAATGGCTCTCCCTCACTTTCCAACCATCCATTGGAAGCACAAGCGCATAGACTCCACAGCCGGCAGTAAGTGTTTAAGAACAGTCTGTTCAAAAAACAGGGCAGTAGTGAGTATCAAATGACCAAGCTCATCTAGGATTAGTTTTTCACCTTTTAGATCAGAATGATATGACTAAATGTGGGTGAGGGTGATACATCAGCACCTTTATGATGGAATGGGTGATAGACTCAGGGCCAGGTCTAGGAGGCCATGTGTGTTTTCCTTCTTGCTTAGCCATCCTGTCTCCAGAGCGAGTAAGGGAGGGGTAAGGGGGCTGACTTTAGATGGTGCAGCAGCCTGAGGAACGCAGGCAGGGAAGAGAAACCTGATCTATACTGCCTCTTAACCCTCCTGCCCCCATACCCCCCTCCTCCCCTCCAAGCTCCCCGCGCTGCCACCTCGCCACAGACTCCCACTGCAATCCGATCCCTCACACTGTGGCTGAGATTGAAACACACTCCTAGAGGGCTCCAGGGCAACTTAATCTAGGCCTGGCTGATATTTTAAACAACAAATAAGAGGGCAAAAACATACAGTATGTGCTTATTTTTGTACGATATTGCAGCCTTTTAAGCAATTAAGTGATTGATTTTGCACATTCTACGAGGGAAAGATCTGTGCCAGTAAGAATATGCCAATTAGAATTTTCAACCTAGGGTCCGGGGAACTCCAAGGGAGTGCTAGGGGGTCACTGGAAGTGCTTAGGGAAAAACCGTGTACATTTAAAAATAATTAAAATAAAAAATGGCAAAAATACATCTACTATTACTTTGGTATGAATATGAAATGTAATAATTAACTTAACAGATTGTTTTTGTTTGTTTTTAATCGAATTAATATTTAGCTATATTTACTTTTTTTTTTTTTTTACAGTATCCTTCACATGAGGATGATCATATTTGGGGGCCTGTGGAATCTATTGAACACTCCTGAACTAAAACATCTCTTTACTCTAGACACAAAGAACATGCCCATCACATCTGCATAACAATTAACCATTCATTAACATTCAAAGTAAGACGGAACAAATAATTGCTCTAGCAGTTAGAGTAAATAACTATCACATGCTACACAACACACACACAACCATCAGGACATACACGCACTCAAGTGTTTTGCATTTAATAAATAGATCATTCAGAAATGTACATTCTGTCATCATTTACCATGCCGTTCCAAACATGTAAGACTTTCATTTATCTGTGGAACATAAAATAAGATGTGACTTGATACAATTATTTTTTATTGTATGGAAAAAAGATTCAGTGAAAGTGAATGAGGTCTCCGCTCCCTAATGGTCTGCGTAACATCTTCAGAAACTCCTACAGGTTTAAAACGACATGAGGGTGAGTAAATTATTTCATTTTTGAATTAACTCTTTTACACAACCTGGTTATTCTGTTCTCATCAGCACAGAGCTCACAGAATTTGACCAATATTATTTTTTGGAGAGGAGATTTTCAATCAAGCTGTGGAATGCACAGATGTCTGGCATGTATATACTAAAAGCCTTTAGCTTTAATTTTATCAAATAAATCCACTTTCCTCAGACTAAGCCTCTCTCCTCCAGGCCTCTCGAAACAGACTGCTTCACAGGCAGTTACCATCTGTTTTTTGACCTCCTCGAGAAGGTAAAGGAGCTGAACAGACCCCCTTCCCCCCAGAACCCATAAATTAAAAGCAGCTTTTGTATTGAGAGGGCTAGAAGTACAGCCACAAGAAAGAGCAAAATCTGAAAGAAAGAGAGTACAACTACAAACTGCTACAGTAAAACGAGGAAATTTAAAATGTAATAGATTTCCACCCACCGATGCACACATAAATATAACTTAAAAGCAGATTTCTGTATTGAGAGGCGGATACGTGACCAGACCAGCCTGAAGTTAAAAACAATCCATGAAAAATAATATATAATCAAAAATATAAAGAAAACCATGTCGTTGTATAGTAAAAATTACATACAAAACATGTAAACCAGTTACCATATGAAGAATAAATTAATATTTATAGGACACGCACAGCTGTCATTTTATTACAGGGAAGTTGTTGCTAGCATTAACTTACGCGACTATCGCGTTAATAACTTTTTACTCTGACTTTTACAGTGACAGTTTTTCTTCTAACAATAATAATGCTATTTTAAAAATATAATAAACCGTAAAATTACGAGGATACTGTATTGTTTTGAGAAAATGCAGTTCTGGTTGTTAGTTAAACGAGTAAATTTAAACGTATTTTGTCTGGCTAACAGCGATAGCTCACTAGCTATCGTTCAACTCGCCGCACTCTTGAGATAGCAGTAATTTACCAACAAAATAATTTAATAAACCCGTAAACGTCCACAGTTTTTTTCTCTTTAAGCCTTGTACATTTGTGTACTGTGTAGTGAAAAAACTGTAACACGCCACGACAGTCGCTTTTGCCTTAATAAGCCGAAACATAGAAAGTGGAAAATCCAACGCAACAAACTTTCGTGAGGCACAGCGTTAGCTTAGCCAAGCTAACACTTTCCATTTCACTTACCGAAGAGATTCTTCAGTAAATCGTATTTTCGTGTACTCCGTAAATTTCTCGGCACTCGAATAATTCAGAGGGTCGGTTGTAGTAGTGGTCGTGATCGACTCTCACTGAGGTCCGTCAAGGGTCTGGCACTGACCATCATCGTAGAGCGTTCCGCACTCACTGATTCCACGCAGTCAGCGGACAGCAGCTCACGGTCACGGCAGAGCGCCCGCTGATTGACCGACTCCGTAGCGACACATGGCGACTAAAACTAAACAGTGTAATGTACATTTTCATGTATTAATACATTAGATAAGACATTTAACCCACAGTTTTTAAAGATAGAATCATATTAGTTCATTTTTAATTAACACATGAATGAATAACATTATTTACCTTACACTATTTTTGTATGTTTTGTGTGCCATTTGTGTATTCTATACATTGCATAAATCATTTAAAAGACAGTTTTAAACATCACTTCATTTGATAACAGGATGATTATGATTTAGATCTAAATAAAACAAATAATGAGATTTAAATATTACAAATATCAATTAGGCTGTCCAGTCTGCAGTACGGTTTTATTTAATCATACATAGAGAAAAGTGCCCATCAAATTTTGTGTTATGAGCTATTTTCAGTTTATAAAGCACCTTAATATTTTTAGTCATGATTAACATGTCAGTGAAGATACAGGTGGATTATTTTTTTTTTTTTACATTCAAATGTAAAGGCATTGAAATAAGTACAAAGTAAGGCTGTTTCCACAACATAATTTCAGAATACAAAAAAAGAGAACACCATTAGTAGTACTAGTTAGTTTATCATCTTATCTTGAAAAACACATACCCATAAAGTACTACATAAAGTAAATGAGTATTCCATAGAGCCGCATCTCAGTTTGAACTCTCATACAAACATTGTATTATTCAACAGAAGACTGCATTGAAGACACTTGTGAACACGAGTGTCACGTATAACATACTGTATCTGGTTCTTAATTGTTTTTCTTATCGCAGTAACACTGCAAATGTATTAAATTATGAATCACTCTTTTTTTCTCCCTGTAATTCCCAAGTGAACTGCAGATATAGCAGATGACAAATAGTAGTAATACATTATGTGTAACATGACTGATTTACATTCAATAGAGTTACATTCAAAATATCTGTTCTTGAAAAAGGCTAAAAAGATACCCACTCCTGAACCCAACACTGCTACAAATGTAATTTTAAATAACTTACTAATGTTGTGTAAAAAAGAAGCTAACAATTTATTAAATTTAAGAGAGGCAATTATGAAATGCAAAACCATTGTTTGTGTTAATATTCAAAACAAAAAACAAGCCAAAATCAAAAGTATACATAAGAACACATCTTAACTGAGGTGATGTGGTGGGTTAGGTTAACTTAGATTAATATATGGCAGTGAAAATATACTGACACATCAATGACACAATCTTAAAATATCTTGTTCAAGTGAATTGTATGCATAAAAATGTTCAATATCACCCCGCATTTAGGAAAACATGAGTGTCCGCAATTGCAATCTCATAATTTGACCTTGATGTTCTTTAATTGGCATGTGGCATGAAACGAAAACTGCTCTGTAACCCTACAGTTGCACGTCAGAGTTGGCTGGCATCTACCCACAGAGAAGAAAAAGAACAAAGTCTCAGGTACCACATTCGTTATTCATTTTAAGGAACAAGTTAATTTACTTGAATCCTCTGTGTATGTGGCTGTTTTAATTAAATTATTTATTAAATTATATTAAATGAAGAAACCCCCATTCTTGGCAAATTATTTGTAAAGATTATGTAAATATTGAGGTTTTGCACGCAATAAATAACCGAAAAAACATCATAGGTGAAAAGGCCAAACATGAATAGTTTCAAATACTCTGTTACATTATACAGCACATACTGTGAGGGAAACAACTGATGAATTAACATAGATTCTGTGTTACCTTTCCAGATGCCCTGCATACAGCATTTTCTTAAAAGTTGTTGATGAAAACATAATGCTAATGTTGACATCACAAATGCATAATAAACAAAATGAGTAAAACATAAATCACCCATTCAGCATTGAAAAGACTGCACAACAACATACGTTCTCAATCTATTAAACATCTTTTTTTGATCAATTTGCAAGTCTGGGATCTTTAGACCATTTAAGTCATACACATTTAAGTTTACTTTAGAGTTTAAGGCATAATAGAATGCATAGACTTTTTTTCAGGCTGTTTCTGGTTTATAAATGATACATATGCAGGCAATCTTCAACATCCGTTAATAACCTATTCATTTCAAAACAAGGTTTTAGTCATTAATAGCATCAAAAATTGTATGTTGTAAAAATTCACTAAATCAAAAAAGTGAAAATGTTATATCTCTTAAATTAATGTATATCGGGCATACAAGTGCATGTATGCAAATGTATCGAGCTATAATAAAAGAATAAAAGAATGACCTAAAATAACCAATACTCTATGTGCACATTGGATTTGGATTTGGAAAAAATGTCAAAACACCTAGTTTATGTGTCATCGCTTATTATGGCATTAAATAAATGATGTACTGTATGTCTTTATATTAGTTTTTGTGTCATTTGGATTGGCACCAATGTCTTGCCATAAAACCACAAATGCAGATGTAACATTAATTGCATTTAGTTCCTTCACTGACAGCTTCTGATGCACTGTTGAAGCATCTACACATTGATGGCATGTGCATGTTTCTTGCATAAGGGCTTGTCCTTCTTGGAGTAGAAAGGTTGTCCTTCCAGGTTCACGTGGCACACCTAAATGTCGAGACAGAAACGTGTCATAATTCCTTAGTGTTGAATTATTTATAAACCAAATGGGTGCTATAACAAACCTACCGCACAAACAAAGCAGGTATCATGCCATGTGTGGCCAAGAGCTTCAATAAATTTGTCTCCTGCCTCAACAGGGAAGTCACAGCCATGGCACTTTGTGCTGAAGAGTGAGATATAATCTGGTGACAGAAACAATTAGTGAAGAATATTGTACTGTGGGCTGTAAATTTGCATACACCCAACTTATAAATGTACACATTTGTGTTAGACATAGGCCGTGGCTCCCATACCTTTCTCACAATATGGCTCACCATCCTCCATATGGAAGAGGCTGTTTCCAAAGGGCTTTCCACAAGCCGCGCACACAAAGCAAGTGGTGTGCCAGGTCTGCCGCAGTGCATGCATCACTTCCTATTGAGCAGATGTTGAGGGGATTAACTGACAGTACCTGTGAAGAGTGTTTACAGTAATGTCTGTGCATGTGTATGCAATGTTAATAGGTTTTCGACGTACTCCCATGATCTTGGTGTTGCAGCGGGCACAGGTAGGTGCAAAGAACTCCCCATAGCAGTTCTCACAGTAAACACTATTCTGCTCCTCCACAAAGCTGACATCAGCCAGAGATGTGTGGCAATAATGGCAGTTGAACTCCTCTGGATGCCAGGAACGACCCAATGCCACCAGGAATGGTCCCCTGAGGAGTCAAAAAACACTGTGGCATCAGGGCTCGTGGAAAAAAATTCCTGAACATTGTCATTTTTTAATTAAGAAAGTACTGGACATCTCAAATTACACTACAGTTCAAAGGGTCGGTAACATTTAAAATACTTTTGAAAGAAGTCTCTTTTGCTCAACAAGGCTGCAATTATTTAAATAGAAATACAGTAAAAAACAGTAATGTTGTGAAATATTATTACAATTTAAAAGAACTGTTTTTATTCCAATATATTTAAAAAAGTAATTTATTCTTGTAAGACAAAGCTGAATTTTCAGCATCATTACTCCAGTCTTCAGTGTCACGTGATCCTTCAGAAATCATTCTAATATGCTGATTTGCTGCTCAAGAAACATTTCAATGCTGAAAACAGTTGTGCTGCTTAATATTTTTGTGTAAGAACAGCATTTATTTGAAAAAATGTAAACAATGTAAAACTCTTCTCTTTTGATTTAAGTCATCCTTGCTCAATAAAAGTATAAATTTATTTACAAAAAAAAAAAAAAAATCGTATGGACCCAAACTTTGTACGGTAGTATATATATTGAGTTTAATAGCAATATGTGATGAAAAAGGACGATTTAAAAATTTTTGGAATAAAAAAAGTGTCACCACAACTCAGGAAGTATAAAAGCTAATATAAACATTACATTTGTAAATGTTACATATTAAAATGCTTATTTCTCCTTTGTTTAGATTATCATAATTTTATTTATTTAATAATTCATATTTTTAATATGGATGTTTATATTTTAAGATTGAACACCTGGGCTTGTGATAGAATAAAAAAAAACATATACACAAAATAAAATGCATGTAAAAATAAGTAAAATGAAGAAGAAAAAAAAAGTAAAAGTAAAAAGAAATCCAGGACAATGTTAACATGACTATACAACTAAAATAAAAATGAAACTTCAGGACACAAAAGTGCCTGAAGTAGAATAAAAACAGCTATATATTACAAAGGGTCTTGTGATGAATATTGCACAAGTGTAATCATACCTGATGATGTTGTTGCATGATCCACACAGAGGTGTTCTGTTGCTGGCTGCAAACCGCTCTGCTCTTTGAGCGACTCCACGAGCCACAGGTGGGAAGGCCGCGGGGCTGAACGGAGCAGGGGAAGGGTTGAATGCAGCAGGAGCAGGAGCGGGAGCAGGGACGGGGTTGGGGATGTAGGCTGGTGGTGGTGGTGCCCCCTGAGGAAGAGGCTGCACTTTGATATTTGTGGTGGTGGTGGGTTTGCTAGGGTCAAATTTTTGGGCAAAGTTGTCATCAGTGACCCAAGGAGGCCTGTTGGAAGACGCTGGAGCTGCGGCAGGAGCAGGTGGAGGTGGAGCAGGTTTATAAGCCATTGGAGGAGCTGGTGCTAAAAGATGCCCATGAATCAGTATTGCATGCATACAGTAAACCAAAGATGGACACACACATACACTGAATACACAATCACATATGTGACTCTGGATCACAAAACCAGTCACAAGTAGCATGGGTATATTTGTGGCAATAGCCAACAATAAATTGTATGGGTCAAAATGATAGATTTTTCTTTTATGCCAAAAATTATGTTTTATTAAGATATTTTGTACATTTCCTACCGTAAACATATAAAGCATTTATTTTTGTGAGTGAATGCAGAACAATCACGGACATAAATGGACAACTTTAAAGGCGATTTTCTCAATGTTTCGATTTTTTTGCAACCTCAGATTCCAGATTTTCATTGTAATCTAATTTTTAGTGGTATCTCGGCCAAATATTGTCCTATCCTAACAAACCATACATCAATGGAAGGCTTATTTATTCAACTTTCAGATGATGTATACATCTCAATTTCATAAAATTGACCCATGTGACTGGGTTTGTGGTCCAGGGTCACATATGTACAATGGTTACCTGGGGCGGATGGATATGCTGTGGGCATAATGGTGGCAGTGGTGACCACTTTAGGTGGAGGTGGACCTACAGGGATCTGGATGGAGCTGTGCTGCATGGGTGATGGCTGCTGCATAGGTGGAGGCTGGGCGTAAGGACTACAGAAGGACAGACCAGAAACTCAATAACATTTCAGTTCAAATGAGAAGCTACTCCACCTTTCTGCTTTTCCTAAACAACTTAAAACATTCACATTACACTTTCATCCAAAGCCACATGCATTGCATTCCAAACATTTTGCGTTCTCTGGCAGTGACCTTGACAATGCTCAACTGGACACATTATATTTAATTTATATATTGTAGGACTTTATTTTACAGTCCTGTTTCGCATGAACATACTATGTACTTGTTGTAGTAATGACACTAACTAGGTACTAACCCTGAACCAGTGTTAATTTTGTCAGCAAATTTTGATTTAGTTTTAGTCTTAGTCTTTTGACTAAAATGCCATTTAGTTTTAGTCATATTTTAGTCATCTGAATTGTTTTAGTTTTAGTCTAGTTTTAGTCGACGAAATACAATAACATTTTAGTCGACTAAATCTACAGTAGATTTAGTCGACTAAAATATAATGGGTTTAGTTCAATTGTAATGCGTTAATTTAGAATTTCTCTAAAATTTCCAAACCCATATACTCCCGGAGAAAACATCTATTAACCTGTTAATATGAATGATTTTTAAGTTTGAACATGCAATACAGATACAGATTTAACTGCTGTTACTTAAAAAATATCTTAAAATGAAATAAAACCACTTTTCCTAAAGTACAACACAGTCTTCTTTACAATGAATGATATATTCATTCCTTATAACTACTTACACATCATTCTTTATTCTATCAAGCAGACATATTTATTTGTATGAATTAAATATAATTAATCCTTATTAAAGCTATTAACAAACAGTGAATGCTTTTCTCTTTTTCTTTTGTTGCTTGATCAAAATTAAGGACACGGACCGCATTAGGTTTATTGCCACTGTCACTTTAAGACGTCGGATCATGTCCAATGACATGCGGATACAATTGCACTGATGCACATCCGACACACTCACAGTTTAAGACATAACCAGCATAGTTTACATGAATACTCTCCAAAAAGGACATTTAGACATACTGTTGTGTATTTCTCCATTCAGACACGAAAGAGAGCTCAATTCAGTAGCCTACTCGCGCGCTGTAGGTGTATTGTGCATGACTGCACGCTTCGGGTTAGGTGTGTGCGCACAGAAAACCGCACCGAATAGAGCTCTTTTTTGCATCGTCACTCTTATTCAGAGATCTATATGTCTGCTCTACTCATTCTCCCAGACGTTCACATTTTTTAACGTTTTATGACCGCGGGGTAGATCACGTTACAGTAGCCTACAAATGTGCGCATCTACCACACACGCAGGACATCAGTTCTGACGGATCGCTTCCCAAATCGTCACTATCTAACATTTTCGTCTAGTTTTTATTCGTTGACGAAAATGTCAATAGATTTTCGTCATAGTCTTTGTCATTCAAAACTAGGTTTTATTTAGTTATCGTCTCGTTTTCGTCTGTGAAAAAATGTCGTTGACGAATAATTTTCGTCGTTATTTTCGTCAACGAAATTAACACTGCCCTGAACCTACACCTAAACCTTAACTTAATCCATGTAGTTACCTTCCACTACTCATTACTTTTGTGGTAAGAAGTGCACATACTGTAAAATAAAGTGCAACCATTAATTATATTATTGGTATTTTGTGAAAAGCAACTACACATTTACTACCCTTAATGCCCATATTTTTCCTCAATGAGATTAATTATATACAGTACATTCATTTAAACATACTGTGTAGTTCTTTTGCAAATTGTAACTTTTTGACTATAATATTCACGTATTGATTTTTTAAACTACACTACTGCACAAAAGTTTGGGGCCAGTATTTTTATTTTAATAGAAATTAATCCTTTAATTTAGCAAGGATGCATTAAATGGATCAAACATGGCAGTACTGACTTTTACAAAAACCTCATAAAAGAATACTATGGAAAAAAAAGTAGTTTTGTAAAGTAAAGTTTTATCTGAATCATAAACATATATTGTTGTCTGGAATACTGTGAGCCTGGAGACTGAAGTGTACACTGTGAATTTTTAAAAGCTTAGCTTAAAGATGTGTTATAAAATGAATAGTGCTCATAAATGGCTGTTGAGATAGTACTCTTAACTGAAAGTGGAGACGTGAACCAGACGCGGCTAATAAGAAATGTTTCTTGAGCACCAAATCATTGATTTCTAAATCAACTAAAGAATGGATTAAACCTGTAGAAAATTTAGCTTTGATTTCACAAGAATAAATTAAATTTTGAAACATATCAAAATATATATATTTTTTATAATATTTCACAATATTACAGTTTTTACAGTAATATTTTTTATCAGATAACTGCAGCTTTAAAAGACAAAAAAGCATAAAAGACAAAAACCGAACCCAAACTTTTGACCAATAATATACATACCTGCATTTATTTTTGTTACAAACATCACAAAAAATTTAGATTATGTCTTTTGCACTAGAGTTGCAAGTTTTACCACGACACACACAAGTTGTCATAAGCTCTTCCTAAGGTTTTACATTTGTACAGTATGTATATACAGCTGTTTTTAAAATCTATAGTCACCTAAAAATATCTACAAATTGAAAAAGAGTAGTATAGCGTTCAGCAAATTTAGTTGTCCAAAGGTTATAACATGAAAAGTTAAAGAAAAATATTATCCTTTGAGTCAGCAGTCAAGCAGTAAGGGAGAAAAGATGTGTTATTGCACATGTTACAGGCCATACTGACACTGGGTGGGGGAAAGAACGCTTTGTGGTTGAATGCAGAGCTGGACCACAGTAGTACCTGGAGATGGAGGTTTGGTACTGAGAAGTGTAACCCATAGAGGTCTGCAAGCTGAAGCTATAGTGTAACAAAGAGAAAAATGGTGGACAGTCAAACTTATGCTTAGATTAAACTTGAGAGAGGCCATGTGCACTCATATCTGTATGACTGCCAAACTAAACCAAATATTGCATGTTTGTATGTCTATATAAAAAATAAAAAATAAAAAAACACAAACAGGATCAGATACTTTGGTTTTCCAAATCAAATGCATATGGAAATTAATTGAATATGCAATAACCCTTTAAAGAACTACGTTGTGTATTCTGTTTTTGTTTTGTCTAAATAAAACAGTACACTATGGGTACAGTACAGTATGAGTGAATATGGCAGCAAATAGACCATGAACAAATCATTTTAGATGCAGACACACAAAACAGAAAATAAACGTGCATTCAAAGCAAAGACACTATGTACCAACAACTACTAAAATAAGGCCCAATTTAACACAAGATTCATATATTTCATATATGTGACAAAGAGGACCTGAACATTAATAGTCTTTGTCACCTCCTGTAGTAGGAGACAAGTGAAAGATAGTCATCTAAATCTGAATTAACAATATGACTATATGGACTCTAATAAAGATATCTTGAAAATAAGCAGTTCACTCCAGTCTGCATGCAATAAACGTAAGACTGCTGGATCAGTGTTAGCAATAGATACATGCAAAGAGAGTGCAGATTCTGCCATGTCTTAAAAATAAACTTACTTAAGAACAAACATGAGCATTAGTTGACACGGTACAAAGGACCATGGGACATGGGTTTCAATACCAGATATGGAAATTTACTTAGGTCTCAAAATGACTTACTCCTTGGTATAAAAGATAAAATTAAATCTAGAAATAAATTCAATATACTAACATTTTAATATTAAATATAAGAAATAAATTGTGCTGAAAGGGGTTCTACTGTATAAGACTAAATTGGATATCTGGACTTGACAAGGACATGTTAGAGATTTATAAACATGTCTTGCAAAAGCAAATAAAATGCTTGAGGCACGCATTAAAGCATCTAGTTTAGCAGTACAAATGTAGTACTCTTTAAAGAGGGTACATAGAAGTGCTTACAGTGATCTTAAGCTTAAAAAGGTAGTTCATGGAAGAACGTTTTTATTTGGGTCAAGTCCTGCTGTTGAACAATACTGTGATAAACAGATGCCACTCATAAAAGCAGAAGCTCAAAACAAATAATCTACCTGGCAATGACAACATGGTGAAAATCAAATGTGAGTTACTTGCTTCCTTAGGTTAGGGGGAAGAGTATTAGTAGTAATAAGCAGTAGCAAAAGAAGCAGCTGCAACATGAAATTAAGTTAAGACAGAGAAGATCATTATTGATTATAACATTAATATGACTGGAGGATTGGCTTTGCTTTGAATCTCCAGGATCAATTGACTTTGTCCCACAATCTCTCAAATGTTATAGGCTAAAATCGAATACCAATAACATCTATCACATGTCTCCACTAATAGAAGTAGATTAACAATGGAATAACTCGTTAATGCTACTGTATGTACCTGCAAGTCATCAAAACAGAAATAAATAACCCCCAAAAAATATATATAAAAAAAATCAAAAACTTAACATAAACTTAAATATACATACACTACAAATGTTTGAGGTCGGTATAGGATTTTTAAAGTTTTGGAAAAATCAAGGCTGCATTTATTTGATCAAAAACACAGCTATACTACCAAGAATTATTATTTTAAAACATTGTTTTAAAACATAACATATTCCTGTAATGGCAAAGCTGAATTTTTCACAGACATTACTTTAGTGTCTTCAGAAATCATTCTAAAATGTCAATCAAGAAACATTCCTTATTATTATCAACAGTTGTGCTGCTTAACATTTTTGTGGAAACAGTGGTACTTTTTTTTTTACAGGATACTATGATGAATAGAATTTGAAATAGAAATCTTTTGTAACATTTTAAAAGTCTTTACTTTTGCACAATTTAAGGCATCCTTGCTGAATTAATGTTTTTCTTTCTTTCTCTCTTTCTAAAAAAAAAAAAAATGACACTGACCCCAAACTTTTGAACGGTATGCATTGCATGTATACATACCAATGTGGAATACAATAAACTAAGCAACGGTAAAGCAAGAAAAAAAATGCAACGCATGCAACTTTACCTGCTTACAGTGGTTTGCTCAGGAATCTCAGGCGCCTGATTGACTATCTGCGGCTCCGAAAGGAGCTCATTGGGCGAAGCAGCGATAGTAGGTGCACATATAGATGCAATGCTGGTGGAAACTGGAGCATGCTCAGCAGGAGTACTAGATACAAGGTTAGGTTGCAGTGATGTCAGAAACTGATGTCAGGCTGAAGCCATAAATACAGACAGCAGCCATGCTCAGGCCGTGTATGTATTTGTGCCTTCATTTGAAAGTTACATTTTGTCATAAGCAGCTGCTTCATTCTCATGCATACAACTTTTTTGAATACAATGCAAGGATGTCCATCATGGGGGGCAGGATATGTTCATTGCTTTCTTCTCATTAGACTATTCTTATCTAATTTTTCATTGAAGGATGTCTCGGCAGCAGAGACAACTGTAAGTGCTATTCTAGGATGAATTAAATGAATCCAGACATTAAGGCTACAATCAATTACGTGCTCGATCAGGGACAATGAACTGCAGATGGCAGGACCTCACCATTTTAAAGTGACGTAGAGTATAGAGGTTATGTGAACCCTCTTAGTCTGTCCATAAAACACAATTAAGTGGTTAGAGAGCAGTAGATTAGTGATAAATGATACTCCCCTGTGATCCAAGCAAAGAAAAGTGCATTATTCACATTTCATTTCTTTAATCATTTGGCATCCCCTATACATAATCAAACACAATTGAATGAAGAAGATATTTTGGTGTTGGAGCCGCCCAGGCAGGAGAGAGAAGAAAGAGGCAGGCATCTAGCAGCAGCAGGCCTGGTGGTGGACCGATGATGACTGACCCCCTTCACACACTCCGCAAACATCCTTTCTGACCATCTCTCTATTACTCATGCAGTTTATGTTGAAAATGCCCACCGGGAGAGGCAGAGGGAAAAGATGAAATAAAGAGAGCATTTAAAGCTGAAGTGCGTTTTAATATGTACCTATAAGTAAGTCATTCCTGATGATCGACACTGCATTTACTTGAGCATCCCGACCAGGCAAAGCAGCAAAATTGGCTTAACCAACACAATCTCATGAGAAAACTGTTTACTGAAGTGCTGATCTTGTAAGAACTCATGCGATGTGATGCGTACAGAAATGTAAATTTAATTTAAATGTAAATGTAAATCTAACCGGTTTAGGAGCATAAGCAGATCATACAAAAATATGTACGAATTAGCCACCGATTCGCAAAAACATAAAATAGTTATGAAATGCTATGAGAGTGTGTTAGCTTAACCAGCGGTGTGAGTTAATTGGGGGACCGTTCTGGAAAGCCATTTAAAAGCAATTGTAACATTGACAATTCTAATTTGTGAATTTAATGAAATTCAGAAATTACACACTTCAGCTTTAATATCATTCTGTGTATTATACCGAGTTATGGTGATGGAACAGAGAGAAAGGTCTGTAAATGTTGGTTGCAGACATTTATGAAGCCTTCATGAAGATTTAAACACTTTCTGTGGTGAACATGTGTGCGTATTTCTGATATTTTGAGGTGTACATTGTGAGAAAAGCATGTATGTGTGTGAATTTGAGGGGCTTTGGGGAAGGTGTGCTGTGGCAGAAAGCAAACACAGATTAGCATTTATAGCAAGCTGTGAGAGACTGAAATGAGAGAAATGATTTGAAAAAATCTGAAGTGTATAAACAAAAAAGTATAACTTGGGAAATGATGATTACATTACTCTTTCTTACTCTCTCATGTCTCTCTTACTGCCTAATCTCTCTCTCTCTCACACACAAACACACACACACACACACACATTTTATAGATCATAAAGTCCTAACACTGTATTCCTCAACTGGCTATGCTGTCAAACTGTGACACTTTTTAGTTATATTAGCAAAATCTTGAATCTCAGCAAATATTCAGAGATCAATGAAATACAGATCACAGAAGCAGACAATGCCTTCAGATTGAGGGGTTGTAATTGAAACATGTACTAAACTACTTGCAAACAAGTAAATGGCTAATTCATGGAACAGGACCGGAGAGCAAAGAGAGTCAAGACAGGCAGAGGGTAATTCGACAAGATACTGCAGTGCCACCTGCTGGCATTTTACGCTTGACACATAGTTTGGACATAGGGAAAGAGTGTTCTCATCCTAAGAGCAGGTTAGTGCAACACAGTCTCATGAAAAGCAGCCTAACATGTATACTATCACTGTTCTTCTCTTTACATTCACACATGCAAATTAGCATGAACAAAATTGGCATGGTAGGGGGTTGCGAAGATAGACTGAATGAATACTGAATGAAATATGACGTTCATGCAATAATAACATCCACACATGGAGGAACCGTAATGCTTTGGATGTTGGATATAGTTTCAATTTATCCAACCCATGCAGTATTAAGTATCTGTTTCCAATTGTATAAGTGTTTTGAGGAAAATATTAAATCTATTAACACAAAATACAGAAAATGACGGAGAATCAAGTTATTGAAAAGACTTATCTCGGGTTTTTAAAAGCTTTAAATAAATGACAGTTTAGCTGCATTTATCAACTTACAATTATTCATGACAGGAAACAACCATTATGAGATTGGTTAAAAACACCAAACCAATCCTTCGATATATAAGAGGATTCAGGGGAGGATTTCTAACAAGATAACAGAGAATATCTCTAAATGAATAAATTAGTAAAAAAGGCTGTTAAATACTAATAAAGTAAAGCACACTGAATGATTGCAACACACAACATAAGAAGATACAGACTAGTACAGCAGAACAACAACATACATACAATTCAAGATTCATACAAAGCTGCTTGGACCATAAATGGCACTACAGACAAGATATTAGCTTTATCAAAATCATTGTTTCCTGACAAATTGGAAAACATGGTGGCACTCTGCTGACTTGACATTTCAATATTTAAAAACTACAATAATAATGATAATAATAGTATGTCTAAATTATTTAACATATTACTGATAAAAGTGTGTGAAACATTTCAGTGTTGTTATTGTATTTATTAACTAAATACAATATCAATATTAATTATTTGAAATAAAGGTATAATAATATAGTATATACATTATTATATTATTATATAGTAATCTAATAAATATTAGATAAAAAAAAACATCTACATTACTCCGGATACATTTGAAAACGGTGTTCCCCCATCCACACTAGAGTTGAAGTGTTTTTCAAAAGTGTTTCCTTCGTATGCGTAAAACATAATACAAGCTCATGAGATGATACCGAGAGAGCAGATGTAATAAATTTATCACGCTATTCTTCTGGCACGATCATTTTATCAGCAAAATATCCCACCACTCACTGTAGAGTCCAGGGCGCACTCAAAATTGTATAGTCTAAAACGCAATTGTCATGTTTTGACAGCAATTGCGGTCTATTTTTGCAGGAATGTAATATGAAGATTCTACAAAGGAACATTTCTCTTTATCAACAATATGATAGCAAATAGCACAACACAACAATGCCAGTATAACCATAGATATCTATGGTTACAATAAATAAAACTAATACCCTTATCGTCTCTAATTTGCGAAAACGGTGACGTCATGCGCATGCGTATTGCGTGTTCTGTCTACAGGCGTATCGTTTTTTATTACAAAGTGCCATTGCCAACTACTGGCCTATGAAGGTAAATTAGTACCAATACTCGAGAGCACGTAGATGTGAATTTGAGAACTTGTACAATAAATATTCGTATTTGTATGTGAACATTTACACTCACAGCTCCAATGTGAAAACCTGTAAAATAAAAATCTGAAGTTGAATGTTGAGATTTGCACTCGCAGACAATAGTCACAAACCTGTATTCTGAATCTGAAGCTGCAGACAAGCAGTCACAAATGTGTAAAATGCCATTCACAGAAATACAATGACAGACACAAACATGTAAAATATATTCGCACTTATTCTTACATTCACACTCGCAGTACAACCTCAAATTGTCACTTGCAACTTCTCAAATCTGTCACTGCAAGTTCAAATTTCGCGCCTTGACTTTTGCTACTCTTTTCGCGATATATGAGGTGCAAAACTGATTTGTGCACTTGTAACTCAGTGGCGGCGAGAGCGGAAAGGGGGCGGGAGCGGGGGTGTTCAAAGGAGCCGTTTTATTGGTTGGCGCCTAGCCAATGAAATGGGACTTCTATTGTACGCGTTGATGTCACGAAACCCGCCTCCTCGTGGATTTTCTGAAATGCTAACATGGCTTAATGCATTAGACTAATTTAAAAGACATAAATTATATTATCAAACTTAGTAAACACAATAATGCATACTACAGAAAAGCAGATGAGCACAGAATATGAACGCAACACGTTAAATTAAGACAGTGGTATTAAAAGACCAAACTCAGGAAACACCATAAATAAAGCATACAGAAAAGCAATTGAGCAGAAAATGAACGCAACTCGTTTAATTGTGCGTTAAGCATTTTCCTCTCATAGAAAACCAAGAAAACGCTTAAAGCCCCGTTCACACTACACGCGACTTTGTCGCTGCAAGTCGCCAGTCGCTGGCGATGAGGTCGCTAGTGGGCGTTCCCACTACTGGTTGACTAGTATGACATCCAAAAGACAGCGAATCAGCTTTCTTGCCGCTAAAAAACACAATTTCTGGAGGGAAAATACTAAATATAAATATACTCCGTACATAAAAACGTCTGTAGTGAAGCATGAAGATGAACGAGACACAGAAGTCGTTTTTTCTCGTTGCGGCCGTTTATCTACGGCATAAGCGCAAACGCCGGTCTATCTGGGTTCACGAGACCATTCGGGCTCGGAGACAGCACGGCGAGTACCACCGGCTGGTGCAGGAACTGCGGCTGGATGAAGTCCGGTTCCAGCAGTACTTCAGGCTGGACAGGACCCAGTTTGATGTGCTGCTGTGGAGGGTGGGTCCCCTGATTTGCAAGGACAATACACGGTTCCGCCGAGCCATTTTCCCCGGTGAACGGCTGGCAATTTGTTTACCAGGGGCTGAGGAGAAGGATCACGTGCGCTCCACTCCTATTGGTTGTCGCTCGCGAAAATCGCTCTTCATTTGCATAAAGTTAAAAATTTCTCAACTTTGTCGCGTCGCCAGACACGCCCCATCTAGTCGCCAACGGTCGCTGTCACGCGTGTCGCTCATCTGCTTTTCTGTAGTATGCATTATTAGTATGGTGTTAATATCACTAAGTTTGATAATATAATTTATGTCTTTTAAATTAGTCTAATGCATTAAGCCATGTTAGCGTTTCAGAACATCCACGAGGAGGCGGGTTTCGTGACATCATCGCGTACAATAGAAGTCCCATTTCATTGGCTAGGCGCCAACCAATAAAACGGCTCCTTTGAACACCCCCGCTCCCGCCCCCTTTCCGCTCTCGCCGCCACTGAGTTACAAGTGCACAAATCAGTTTTGCACCTCATATATCGCGAAAAAGAGTAGCAAAAGTCAAGGGCGCGAAATTTGAACTTGCAGTGACAGATTTGAGAAGTTGCAAGTGCCAATTTGAGGTTGTACTGCGAATTTGAATGTTAGAAGAAGTGCAAATATATTTTACATGTTTGTGTCTGTCATTGTATTTCTGTGAATGGCATTTTACACATTTGTGACTGCTTGTCTGCAGCTTCAGATTCAGAATACAGGTTTGTGACTATTGTCTGCGAGTGCAAATTTCAACATTCAACTTCAGATTTTTATTTTACAGGTTTTCACATTGGAGCTGTGAGTGTAAATGTTCACATACAAGTACGAATATTTATTGTACAAGTTCTCAAATTCACATCTACGTGCTCTCGAGTATTGCTACTAATTTACCTTCATACTGGCCTAGCATCACTGATCTATATAGAATGACATTATATAGATCAGTGCCTAGCATGAATAATACAGCCTTTTTAGTCCTTTTTGCAGATCTGTGTGAATGGGGATAGTTTTGACAACATTATCTTCTGTACGCGAAACATTGTCTTTAGTACATCGTTGTCATGTAAACATACCCTCAGTGTGGACAAGGTCTTAAAAAAAACTGAAGAAATGTTGCCATGGCAACTAACTGAAATAAAATAGGTTTAAGTTGAAGTACTAAAATGACTAAACTAAAACTGAAATAAAACATGATAAAGCTGAATGAAAAACAAAACAAAAGCACCTAACAAAATGACTAAAACTTAAACTAAAATGAAAACATTTAGCATGTTTAAGTTTTAAACTTAAATTTTAGTTTGTTTTAGTCATTTTGTTAGGTGCTTTTGTTTTGTTTTACATTCAGCTTTCATATTTTTTTATTTCAGTTTTAGTTTAGTCATAAACTAGGCATAAAATTAAAACTCAAAATATAAAAATTAAATTCTAAATATTACTACATACCATAATAGAAAGTAAACAATACTAAAATAACACTGCAATTAAGCAAATAATAATAAAGTGGCAAACTTGATAAGACATATTAAAGACAAAACTATTGCCAGAATGAGCAAAACAAACATACAACTTAACGAACAGCAGGCAACAGCACTGCAGTGATGTGTATTGAAATAAAGTGCTTATCTGTTTTTGTTTCAGTCAAGTTGAGGAGAGTCTGATGAAATATTGGAGACTGAAAATATGGGGGAAATGACAGCACAACATACAAAAGAGCTGACTGATGCAACATATGTCTGTGCAACCTAGCATGACATGTTCATCTGTACATGAAGGCAGAGATCTGAATAAATAAGAAAAGGATGAAGAGTGGGGTAGGGGCCAGCCACCCAGGGCCACAAGCACTCCAGTGCAGTCACACAGTCTTCCCAGCATGCACTGCATGCAAGTGGGAGGCTCAGAAGTGAAGTAATCCAGTAGTGAGATGATATGAGAGAAGGGCATGGTTAGCAGAAACATTTTTCTATTCTTAAAACAATTTAGCGCAAACCAGCTCACAGCAGAGATAACACCATTTCCCTATGTGACAACCAGACAGGCAGAATTACCTGGAGGAAAAGTCCTGGTTTATTGACTCTCTCTACTCACAGCCATTGACTTCCATCCTGCTCAACCGCTTGACGTTCTGATGGCTTCATGTGCCTTCGCTCATCTTCCAGACACAGAGCTCGTCCCTTTAGCCACCACTGATCTAGCTAAAGATGATTACACTTCCTACAGAAATAACCTTACACAGACATACCATAAAGTCTTACTAACAGCCTCATTTTCTCGATAAAGCGAAACCACTGGATTCTAAAATAGTGATCTGTCAGATTTACAACATTGACTGATAGATTGACATCTTTATCACCCAAAACCCCTAGGTAGTCTAATATTTAACCACAGGCTTAAGTAAGAAATGTCTGACAAGTTTCAGAACATCAACGAAATAATTAAAAAAAAAATAGGATAATAATGTTGGTGATTCAAAGTTTGGTCTAAAGCTAAAGCTTTTGCTGTCTGTCAGGATTTAGCTTTTCATCAGATAAGAAGTGACATCTTAAAATAAAACTGACTGCATCTGTAAAAGATTTCAACATTTGCAAATCTTCTCAACAAACTTGTCCATGCTATCCCAGTATCAAAGGGTTAGATTCTTAGATCTACATAGAAAAAGATAACATGACAAATTGTCTAATCCAGTGGTTTTCAATCTTTTTTACTCAAAGGCTCCCCATTGTCTAACATTATATCCGAAGGCCCTTCATATTATACCTCTGGTACTTCGGCTCTTATTATGACAACACTGCTTGCTTTCAATGCTAGCTTTTTTTTTATTTTTATATTATATTAATTTTGTGATTCCAGAAAATGTAAGGCTTTGACTCTGAAAATGTTGTTCAATAAAACAATATTTATGGAAGGTAATAATACATAATTTCAGTTTACATCTCGTTTTTTTTAGATAGATAGATTGATTGATTTAAATCTCTTGAATCCATGTATACTCTCATACCCAGATAAAATCCCATTTTCAAAAAGCCTTTCCACATGATTAGGTTCATAACATTTCTTTTATTTGATGGATTTGAAAGACTTGTGTACAGATGCAATGATGTTCTCAACAACCATCAATATGTAATCAAACAATCCGATACAAGTGAGAGAAGTTAAATAGTGGCAACATTCTCTTGAAAATTCCTAAATCTTTCCTACAGGGTGAACAAATAGCTTGAAACTAGTGATGAGCCAAACAACATAACTGACTTTCAACTTCATCTTTTCTGCTTTTATCTCACATGCTTTGACTTTCCTCTTACTCAAACACTGCAGTCTGTCTATGCCACCTGTCTAACTCTCTCTATCTTACAGCGTTTTACTGAGGCACATTAAGTATTTGTGCCGACAGGCCATGGTGCCAGTTTTTCAGTTTAGCGAAACGAGGGCCTTTGGCTTCACACTCAAACATTTCCCTGTGACATCAAGACATATATACAGGAAAAAAAGAGGAAGAAAAGGGAGAAAAGAGAGGGTGGAAAAATGGGTTAGGGAATATGGCCTTCACTCCCCTGCCCAATATTTGTGGCTGCTTAAGGTGTTGTAAAATGTACATGTACCCACTAAATGTTTTGCATTTAGCCAAATACTAGAGGTCACATTTTGCATTGTATTGTGTCAGAAGTGTAATGACATTGTGAAATAAATGAGAGCTAAAGATTTATGAAGAATGAAGCTTGATGTAAATATAACAGACCAGAGGTGTAAAGTATTTGAGTAATTGACTGTACTTCATTACTAAAGTATTATTATTTGGAATTTATACTCGTACTAGGGTACTGCTAAAACTAATTACGTAATCATAAACTTATACATTTTAGAATTTTATTTCTTCACGATTCAAAATACATATCATAACTATGTGTGCAATTGCAAAAATCATAATTGTACTTGCAAACAGGATTCCCAAACACTCCAATTGCCCTTCCAATTTTAATTTAATTACTTAATTAAAAGGTTTTTCAAGTTTATTCTTCAATTTCTTCAATATCTAGTAAAAAAGATATTGAGGCTTTTTGAGGTGGATTAATTTTCTAGGTGAATAATCTTTTGGTTATGCACTATGTAATTTACATCTTTCCTGGCTACAAATAATATAACTGGGCTATATTATTTGTATATCCAATTTGAATGATTGGATATAGGTTTACGAAGACAGGGTTGGCAAGTAATTTGTAATTTAATGCCTATTTCTAAAGCTAAGAAAAATGGTTACATTTTGATACTTAAGCACAATTATTAAATGGGAAAACTCAAGTATGTTTTCAGATATTTTGACATTTCAGTAGCCAAACATTACCAAATAACAATTTCTTTAACAAAAAGTACAATTTCTCTGTAATTTTTACACCCCTGATACAGACTACTATAAATACATCGAACTGTATCAGATTGATGCATCTAATGTGTGCGGATCAAGTTCAGCACAGAGAGTCAGTGATGTGTGAATATGGGGGTTTGGTTGGGGTGTTCTGATCATATGTCAGCTTTTCAAAAAGCCTTTCAGGTTTTAAGAGGCAGAGGGCTGGATTTCAGCAGAGGTCAAAAATGTGGCCACCAGATGCTGCTGCTAGATGCCTACCTTGATTTTCTCAGAGCTTCCTCATCAGGGTCTTGCACTGCAGAAGAGAAAAGACAAGGAGAGAACATGTCAGACTCTACTCAACAAATCAAAATCTATAACAAAATAAAAGGAAAGTGACAAAAACAGGCAGGCAGACTCACTGTATTCAGTTCCAGTAATGTGGGCGAGGTAGCGGAAGGACTTGGACTGCAGCTGGGCGGCTCTTTTAGTCCATTCAGATGGCCCCAGTTCATTGTTTTCACTGGGAATGACAGCCTGATACACTGGGGAAGCACTGTCTATAACATGGTCTTTAACTGGCAGATTACTGCAACCACAGAAAAAGCCGGTTTTGTGAAACACACACTTTCTTTTCAGTAAGACAGGGAACATCAGCAAAATAATTGTTTTTAATAATACATATTTTGTGGTAATTTTTGTATTAAAATTGGATGCAAATTTGCCTATTCTGACTAATTTACTGCCATTATCACAAATTTACGATGTACTGTATAACATGTCTGTTAACACTGATTGTTTTATATATACCGTAGATTGATAAATATCCAGCATACTTAAACAGAGAAGCATGGGCAATGTGGCCAGAAGCTTGCTTATCACACATTATATCTCTTACCCAGAAGAATGACAGAGCAGAGCATTCAGAAATCGGTTTGTTGACATCTAAAACTCAATCGCTGACTGATTTCCTGTTACCACATTAGCAGACCCTCTTGTAAGCCTCACCATTTAAACATGTTTTCACAAAAACAGTCAATGTCACCTAGCAGCAAGATTAAGGGTTTCGGAGGAACATTTGAATGGTTAAGAACCAATGAAATGGAACTGAAAGCTGCGATCTGAAAAGGAGTAGTATGCGATGTCATCGGTGCATTAGGCTAAATAAAAAGGCAAAATCCAGCTATTTCAAAAGTTACAGGACAGACTCTGCTCATGAATACCAGGTGCATTTCAGAAGTCCAAGATGCTCCAAATCAATCAAAGGGAGGTTAGAGGAAGAGATGAGAGATAAATAGATAATGCGGTGATCAGGCATGCAATGCGCAAGGGAGGAGACGAAAAGAGAGTGCTCATATCAAACAGATGGATCAGGCTACTTACGATAGTGGAGAGTCAATTTCATTGCTGCCAGGCAGGGCCATTGAGATTGGACACATGTAGAGGGGGGACAGGGTACATGATGTACAGTGTGATGGATAGAGGAAGCGATGGATGAAAGGATGGATGATCGGGAATGGAGTGAGAAAGGGAAAATTAGATAAAGCTTCTATGCTATGCATTAGAGAAGGCTTCTGACACGAGACCGAAAGCCTAATCTCTCATTTTCATGATTTCAAACCATACAAAGACATCAAAATACTGGCACCAACAAACATAGAGATATGTAGATCATGGCTGAAACTCATTCCCAGTGTGCACAAAAAGAGCACAACTCACAGTACAGATTACCAAAACACACAATTTAAATGCATTCAGACGGTTCAAAAGTTTGGGGTCGGTAAGATTTGACTTGCTGAATAAAAGTATTAATTTCCTTCAAAAAGAAAATCCTATTGACCAAAAACTTTTGAACGGTAGTTTACCCATAAGCCATGATCCCTAACTTTCCTAAAAATTCCCATCATCATTCCTATTTGTTTGCATCATTTATTTGTTATTTTCCTGTTCATCACTGTAAAGCTGCCTTGAAACAATCTGTATCGCGCTATATAAATATATATAAAGGTGACTTGACTTGACTTGAAAAGCACACAAAAATCCAGCTGGTTCCACAGAAACTACACATAACATTGAAGACTTAGAAAACTGCCTTTCTTCTGCTTCTGTAGGGCAACATGTTCACAGCATACAATTCACATCACTATCATTTCGATAATGTTAAAATGAGGAAGAGTGAGACTATATCCAGTCTATGAACAGACATCCTTTGGAAGTCTTTAGCCTCGTGAGCATTAGCAGATAGCACTGGCCTACTCAAGCGTGGCTGTTTGGCAGGCGTTATGGCGAATGTGTGTCATGCAGGGCATAGGAGGAGGTAGAGGACGCAGTTAGGTGCACTAGATCTTACCCGGACATCTCGCTACCCCTGGCCTGGGACTGGCCAGCAATGGCATCCATAATAGCATCCTGGGAGTACATGCTGATGGGGGTGTTGTACTGGGCATGGATGATGGTGGCCTTGCCTCCAGGCCCCTTCACCTCAATGGGCTTATTGGTGGAGAGGGCAGAGTCCTTCAGAGCTATAGGGTTGAAGCTGGACAGGTACTCATTGCTGTGCAAGTGAGGGAAAGGTGATAAGGGATGAGTATGGGTAGAAGAGAGACAAAATGGAGGTTAGAGTGAGAGTAAGAGAAAGGGAGTGAGGAAAGTGAATTGGTAATGAAAGGTAAGAACCCTTGGTTGATAATACCAGCATATGTTGTGTTTTGGATGCTGGTGAGCTGGGATTTCAACAAAGCTTCTTGATTACATTAACCAGCAGAAAAACCATGCTGGTCGACCAGTTCAGCAAGACCAGCCTGGACCAGCATGATAATTCATGGTGAGACAAAATTAGTTAAACCATAGTACGGTATTAATTAAATTGATTAATAAATAAATAAAAAGCCCAGTCTAATTTTTAAGGTAGAAAAAAACACATCAAAAATGTTTTACACAGCAAAAGATTACTACTACACACGACGCATACAATAACTTGTATAACTACAGCAAGCAGTACAACATAGCATACAAAAAGGCATGGGAATCTGCAAGAATTGAACAAATCCAGTCCCGATTCGAATTCTACTTAATCATTCCACTTCCTTAACGGTTCCATTTACAATTTTTTTAGTACTTTAAAGAATAAACATTTGAAGAAAAAAGTTGTTCCATTGTCAAATGACGAAATGATTTCAATAATAAATACACGTACAGCAATTTGTGCAAAAAAATAAAAAATGTTCAGAGTATTTTAGTACGGTACCTGTGCAAGAACCATTAACGGAATTGGACATCAGTTGGTTATAGTATTTTAAAAATATATGGAAACCAGTTGTAAATAAAGGTGCATTCTTGCTATGTCAGAATTACTGTAACATCGACTTGTAAAAAAAGATTCACATCCTTGCAGAACTCATAATTCACAACAGAGCTTCGAGTTGTACAGCCTGACCCCAACAATGTCATGCAGAAAAACTCAAAATAGCAGAGGCTTCAGCAGTAAAAATGTAGTTAAGCAGTTATTTCATAATTTTACTGTTTAATAGTTCCTATAATTGACCTTAATTGAGTTAATGCAATATTCTGAAAATGAACAAAAGACAGTTTAATGCAGCAAGCGCAGAGCTGAACAACTATGTCCTGCTAAACAAACTTGAAATAAAGTTTGTCAATAAGGCATTTGAATAACGACTGTTACTAATTATAGTGCGGTTTTGTCTGTTGATTACTGAAATATTTCAAGTTTTTTTGCAATTAGGGTTACAATGGAGACATAATTCCGAGTCCGAGGATGTGAACAGCTCTGAGTATAACGTCACAGGTTGTCATTTAGTAAATACGGTAATTTTTATATGCCATAAATGCAACATAATAAACAGTTCTCGATTCCCAACCCGAATTAAGTGTATACTAACTGAGAAGTGCCCAAAGAGGATCCATAGAATCATAACAAAAACATTTTCTATGCTAAACATGACTTCAGCAAGCAAAGCTTTAGCCCCCTAAAACACACACATTATATATTTCAAAGAAGTGTGTTTCTATTATACCCAGCACTGATTCTGATATGTTTCTCTGTGTTGTAGTAAAGGTTTACATTAAGCATTAGTACACCATTAAAGCAAGCTTTGATTGCACAGGAAGACAAATCTCACTAACCACACTGTATTGTTGATAACACACCACAAAGGCAGTTCCAAACATTTCCATGCATGTATACCACACAGAGTACTACAACGTTATGCCAGGAGGCTGTTACTAACTTGGCAGGAGTGTTGGTAATAACCTACAATGGGTGAAAGGAAACAGAAACAAGTGCATTGGTTAGCAACTCATTTAAGATTTAACATGGAAGGGTTGTGCCAATGAAAGTTATTCAGGATGTGGAATCTCCTCAGTTCTTTAAAGGTGCAATGGTGCGATTTGCTAAAAAGCAGTAAACTCAAGCCATTGGTTGAGCCAACATTGGCCCAGTTGGGCTGCTCAAACAAATGAATTCTGGTTGTGGCACAGAAATGACACACTTCACCTTTAAGAAAAAAGAAAAGGTTAGTGTGTTCGAGTGCCAATGTGTGTTTGGCGTGATTGAAATGTAACGTGTTTGTGCGCACACACACACAGTAGTGAAGTCCCCTTTCACAGAGGCAAATCAATAAAAAACTGAAAGCAAAAGACTAGTACGCCACTGGCCATATCTGACAAAAGAGAAATACGTTTTCATGAGTGGCTCCTTGCAAAGATGTGACAGGAGGGAGTGAGGGGGATGTATCAGTGTAGTTAGGAAACTGAACCCGGACATTCCATGACCTTTTATAGAGAGAGCTGCGACAGGTGCTCTCTCACCCATCTCTACAGCGACTGTGTAACCGTATCACTCGACACTACAGCCTGAGATTTCCTCTGTGCTGCGGCACACGCTTAAAACGTTTTTCACTGCATATGAATAGAGTAAACAGAGAGGGGTACAGGACATTGTCATCCATTTCCCTAATCCACCACAGTACAGCCAAAGCGCATTGCTTTGAGGTTACAACACAGAACTAAACCGTCAAACCTGGAAAGTGATATAGTGCTTTTAATGTCTCAATATGACAGCTTGCATTGGTTGTTATGATTTGATACACACACACTACTGTTCAAAAGTTTGGGGTCTGTAAGATTTTTTGGTTTTTGAAAGAATTGTCTTCTGCTCACCAAGGCTGCATTTGATAAAAAATACAGTAAAACAGTAATATAGTGAAATATTACTCTTGATTTAAAATAACTGTTTTCTATTTTGAATATATTTAAAAATGTAATTATTTCCTGTGGTGGCAAAGCTGAATTGTCAGCAACCATTCATCCAGTCTTCAGTGTCACATGATCCTTCAGAAATCATTCTAATATTCTGATTTGCTGCTCAAGAATTATTATTAATGTTGAAAAAAGTTATGCTTTTGTGGAAACTATAATACTTTTTTTCAGGATTCTTTGAACTCTTTTGACACTATAAATGTCTTTACAGTCACTTTTGATTAATTTAATGCATTCTTGCAGAATAAAAGTATTAATTTCTTTCAAAGAAAAAAAATCTTATTGACTCCAAACTTCTGAATGGTAGTGTACTTTCTGGTTTGACAGCCAACTTTTCAATTGAAACCCTCTGCTGGATACATTATCTGATATAACCTGATGATCACTGTACCTGAAGTAGGGTCACAGTAGGGACAACTGAAGCCTCAGCTCAAATTTGTCTGGCACATTCCTTCAGAGCCTTGAAGCCTTAACTAGATCCCTCTCTGGCCTGTTAATGCCAGTAGGGAATGGGGTCAATGTAACAGATGTAACCTCTCTTTTCTGAATGCTGTATGGCTGCTGTCATTCTTCTGTCAAAGAGCGAAGTTAGCAACCAGATGGGCCTGACCTATAACCGTCGCACTGATTCTAACCTGAAACTCTAACCTGTTAATTTAGAAATCAACACTATATTTTTAAAATAGGACTGGTTAAGTTTTACCGCACCTGGCTGCTAGCGTCAGATCTTGCTCTATTCATGATTACATACCCACTATGCATGCCTGACCCCGCACTCTTAGCCCTTTCCTGCAGCATGGCCATCTCTTGCAATGTCTCGGCAGAGTACAGACCGATGGGGGAGTTATACTGCTGTTTTTTTTCTCCGGAGGTGGATTTGTCCCTCGGAGAAGCTAAATGTCTTTGAGCAGGGAAAGAAGCGTCTCCGCTACTGCTGGAGTTTGTTTTAGCAGAAGCTGAGAGACCCCCATTCATTTGCACAGGCTGATCCTCAAAGGAGAAGTGCATGTGTGTGGACAGTGTTGAGAAGGAAAGAACAGAAGGAGCAGGTCAGACGAAAGCTGAGAATGATTTAATAACGATGAAATAACTAATCCTTTAACTTCTTAAAAATAATATAATTGTTTGCACACAACCGTTCAAAAAGATCAGTCAGAAAGATTTTTGTGTTTCTGAAATAATGTCTCTTGAAGTCACCAAAGTTGCATTAAAATATTGTGAAATATTATTACAATTTAAAATAACTGCTTTCAATTTGAATATATTTTAAAATGTATTTTTTGTCCTGTGATGGCAAAGCTGAATTTCCAGCATCATTTCTCCAGTCTTTACTGTCACAAGATCCTTCAGAAATCATTCTAATATGCTGATTTGCTGCTCAAGAAACATTTCTTATCATTATCAATGTTGAAAACAGCTGTCATTCATTCATTTTCATTTTTTCATTTTATTTTTTATTATTTTTATTTTTATTACATACATTTCTAAATAAAAGTATTAATGTCTTAAAAAAAAACTGACCCCACACTTTTATGTACTGTTGTATGTTTTAGGTAGTGTATGTACGAATCAGGAATCTCTTCTTTCGTGTGCCTATAACACACTATTTTTTAATAAAAAGCTAAATTAATTATGAAAAACATTATATGTACAATGTTTAGTTAACTTTTTGCTGGAGTGTGCAAAGTGAATACCAGCAGGGGGCATCATAAGGCTTTTTACAGGTAGCAGAACATTTGTAAGGATGTCCTATGATAAATGTATCCTGAGTTGAGGGGAACCCAAAGTACAGAATCTATTATCTTAGCCTCTTAAAAGGAATCTTTAACTTAATCCTGTAAAAAAAAGAAGAAGCTTTTAACACTGAACTTCAGATGAAGCTTTCTCCAAGGCCTAAATTACACATGAATCTTCTTGAAATGAATCCGAGTGAGAGAATGTGGAATGTATGACCTGTGCTTGATTTAAATTTTTTGAATGCATGGACATACAGTATACTGTTTGCAGATGTATGTAGAATGCATGACTGAGTAATGCATGAGTAATGTGTGACAAACCTTCTGATGGGGGATCACAGTCATGGGGGAGTCAATCCTTGATGTTGTCATGGTAACAGGGATGGGTCGCTTTGACCTGTGATAAAATAAAGAACATAAACATTTGAAGAAAATGACAAAGAATTCTCTGGATCACATCTTAAACAATGTATGAAGAAATTCCAATGTCCAATAGTCAACTATAAACATCTCATGCATAGTTTAAGATACATAATGCACCCATGAACAAACTTGTGGCAAATATTTTCAGTATTCCTGGTCTCACATTTTTCCTTTGAGAGTGAACACTGGTCACAATAACAACGCGATTATGAATGCCATCTACAGCGGTTTTTGTTGAAGCTATCAGAAAAATGCTTTTGTCCAAACATACTTTGTTCCAAATTGAACCTTTTCAGAAGAAAAAATTTAAAACATTACAAGCCTTGTACACAAAGGGGGGGACAACTTTAAAGCATACACAGTTTGAAATGTGTGCAAAATGAAAAGCACAAAGACAAATGACAATGTGTTTTCTTTCTCGTAAAAGTGAGAGAAGTCCTCGGAACATCACAGCAGAGGTTGACAACAAAGTAGATAACGTATCTGACAACTGTTACCGTGTATCTCTCCCTACATGTCCACTTTATATCAACAATCTGCAGAGAGAACTCTGGGATCTATTAAGAGTGTTAAAGTGAAGGAAGGATGGTCCAGTGTAATCCCTGCAGGTATGCACAGAGAGGGGAAATGAAGGTGAACACGCCTTTTTGGGGGTTTTGCTCATGATAAAGTGAACTAAAAGCAAACATGACTTAAGCACTAAGATACATCAGAATTGCAACCTGCACTGGAGAGATCAAGGATGTTTTTAAACTCAAAAACTTCTCACGGATGATTGCTTGCAGACATGGTTTATGAGGGAGGTGCGCTAACCCAGGTGTGGCCCAAACACAACACAGAAAACTTCTGCACTGATCTGTTGATATTTGTATAACATACCCAGAAGATATCTTTAAAGCCACTCTTTTTAACCCACAAAGGCCTCCAATTATGACCCAAATATATTTTTTTATTTGCTCAAATTTGATGTTGTTCACATGACCTTTTAAATGTGGCCCATATCAGACAATGTCTAAACAGCCAATGTAACGCATCTCAGCCTGTCATGTTCATCATAACACCATCAACACATTTCATAATTTAATATGATACCATATTTTGTTACATGAATAAGACCATAGTCTTCCAGTCTCAAATGTTTACATTAGCATCAGAACCTTAACATTTTAGTTTCTTTTGCTAATGTTCAAAGCAAGTGACACAACAATATTTGGCATCAACATATTCTGTATACTGTAATAGAGGGGAACCGTCGGGGGCCTCTAGGCCTTCAGAGAGGACCTAAACTATTGTAAAAAATTATATTTACAAACTTTAAATAATAGTTTAAAAAGTAAAAAAATTAAATAATAAAAAGTCATCAGTTCTAATGTTATTTTAGAAATGTATAATTTGACAATAAACATCTAAATCTTTTTGAGTAAATTAACCATTCAAAGCTGCCTATTCAGTTTGTGTTGTGTTTCTCCATATTAGGAACGCTTTCAGCTCTGTGATTGGTGGTCCAGCTGTGAAATTACAGAGGGCCAAGCAGTGGGTCCCTTTAAGTTTGTGACACGTTCCACCTTCTGTGGGGAGCACGATCGAAAAAAGAAAATGCTGATAGAATAGCTAGCGCTATCCGCTATGGAAACCACAAGCAACATTAATGAGGAGGACATCGTTGCTAATTTATTATCCATGCCATTTCAAGATGAACTTTTAAAGAAAAGCTGGAGTTAATCGGCAAAGGAAGACCTACACCAGAGCTTAATCTTTTGCAGAAAGCCAAAGCTTTTTAAAGCATTTCAACTACAGCAATCAAGGGATACTCCTGGATGACATCATCAATCAAAAAGCTAAACCTTTAGTTGAGAAAACTTGAGTCAGTCCATAAATTTACTAACTTAGAGACCATGAAAATTTGCTGTAATTCTGCATAATAGTTCAATTTTTCCCAAGTTATAAGGTTTATTACAGTCTGTCACATACATTTAAATGGCTGCTGTGCCAGTCTAATGATATGGTTTATTATCAACATATGCGGAAGTGTCTGTTGCTAATGTGCTTTGGTCGGAGCGCTGTCATGATTCATCGGTTTACATTAAATTTGATTGGCTTTGTGGCCAGTTGTCACCATATCCCACTGAAATGACACACCAATTGTGTGATGGTGCAATTTTGTGTAATGATGATTTGATGATTTGAAAAATCAGATCCATATTAGAATAAGAAAGTGATCAGGATCAATTGCGGAGTGAACGTAGCCTTGTTTATTGCTATGTTTTGTCAGTGCTGTGCTGGGCAGGCTGGAAAATAGCAAGTTAACAGGAGTATGAGGCTGCTGATGGATCAATGGACACTCGCCAGAGGCCGTGAAGAAAGCTCCTAAAAGCTAGAGCTACTGAATGCATATTACATTGTCTGTTTTGAAGAGCTTTTGAAATGTGTGGATGCTTAGCTATATGACGCTTGTCTAATAATGTTGGCAACATGTAACATGATGACTCAGTAGCTAGTCTGATCTGAATGTTGTCAGAATGTGTCATACTCTTTATATCTTCCTTTTTGACTAACAGGAAACATGAAAGCAATAAAATCACATAACCTTTCCCTTGATAAAAACATACACAGCTCATGATCAGCAGTGTATGTTTTTATCCAGGGAAAGGTCATGTGCTTTAATTGCCTTCATGTTTCCTGTTAGTCAAAAAAGAAGATATAAAAAGAAGATATATACATGACCTTTCCTTGGATGAAAACATACACAACTCATCAGAGCTCACACACAATCTCAGTCACATATGTTTGTGATATATTGAAGCTGCAGTCTGTTTGCGGTTCATAAAAGTTAATTGATTGACTACATTTAACAGTCAAGGCCTGCTTTTATTACACTGCAGTGAATGAGACCCGCTAACATCTGCATTCGATATAATTATTTAAATTAATAATTTGGCTGTAGCTAAAGAATCGCACAAGTGGATAAGAAAAAACTATGCAGTCCCAGAGCTGTCAGTGAAGATACTGATACGAGCTTATGGCCGCCAAGACAGATGAAATATCAGTGTGGATCACAGTGTAAACACGGCAGATCATTTTATTAACTTTACCAGAACGGAAGCCTAGACGAAACTCAAATGGGAATCATGATGTTATCCCAGAGCAAAACTTCCTGGTGTCATTTTAATCAGGATGGACAATTCTATCCAACAGGGACGGTTCTATTCTGTTCGATTCTATTCGATTCTTTTCTGTTATGTTATGTTATGTTATGTTATGTTATGTTATGTTATGTTATGTTATGTTCTATTCTCCAAACTCTAAATGTTACTTATGCCATACACAGTATTGAATTTTCCATTACTGCCACATCCTTCTTTGAGTGTCATCATTCAAACCTTTGGACAATTCCCCTACATTTTATGGTTTCAGATGTTTTTTGGCAAGTAGTATGACGCAAAAATGAATCAGCAAGTAATGACACATTTTTTAAATTCAGAAGTTCAAATGTTCTACCGTTCACGGTTTGATCAGTGAGATTTCAGTATGATATCAGTAAGAAAAGAATACTTTTACTCAACACGAATGCAATAAATTGGTCAAAAAGATAGTAAAAACCTAATTTTACTAAATATTTCAAATAAATGCTGTTCTTTTGAACTTTCTATTTATCAAAAAATCCTGCAAAAAAAATGTATCACAGTTTCTACAACAATATTGCAGCACAACTGTTTTCAACATTGATAATAATAAGAAATGTTTCTTGAGCACCAAATCAGCATATTAGAATGGTTTCTGAAGGATCATGAAAAAGAAGACTGAAGTAATTCAGCTTTGCGATAACAGGAATACATTTAAAAATTTAAAATATACTTAAATATAAATAAGTTATTTTTTAATTGCAATAATATTTCATAATCTTACTGTTTTTACTGTACTTTTTCAAACTTTTGAACGGTAGTGTACATCAAAGCAAATTTGTATGCTTACACAACACACACACACACACACACACACACTCCAAAACATTAACAATTCACTGTACCTTTGCATGGTGAGGGCCAGATTGAAGTTGGCAGATTTGATCTTGTTTTGGGCCTCCAGGTGTGTCATCCCCTCTGTGCTGACCCCATCAATGGCCACGATGATGTCACCCTGAATCAGGTTGCTGGAGGCGGCCTTGCTCCCTGGTGTAATCTAAAAAAATAAAAAAACATTTAAATGAAATACTGACTAGTCAACACCTCTGTAAACACTAAACTTGGGCAAGATAGTCTTTTTTTTTTTTTTGCCTGCCTCCCTATGGTATTGATAATATAGGTTGATATATGTATAAAGGTGAATAAAGGAGAAGGCTCTGCAGGTACTTGCTTTATACCCTCTCAATAAAATCAGTGGAGGATAAAAACACACATATATTCTGAATCCATGACAGCTGGGTGCACAAAGAGATCTAAAGCACACATTTGGCATTCTGCATGCTTAGCGCTACAACAGATAATGTGTTCCTCTTGCTAAAAATAGAACTGTGACTGCAGAATAAAGTTGCTCTTAGTCTACAGACCCTAAGTCAATCTGAGAAAATGTGTATGAACATAATGTGAATGAAGAACATGTCCGGGCCATATACCACATGTTTCTGACAGGCTTTGTGAGATCTCTTAATACCTTTATATCTTCCATTGAACTTATAGTATAAAAATTATTTATACACACTACTGTTCAAAAGTTTGGGGTCAGTACGTTTCTTTTTAAAGAAATTAATACTTTTATGCAGTAAGGATGTATTAAATTGATCAAAAGTTACAGTTAAGACTTTTATAATGTTACAAAATATTTCAATTCCAAAATAAATGCTGTTCTTTTGAACTTTCTATTCATCAAAGAATCCTGAAAAAAAATGTATCATGATTTCCACAAATCAGCACAACTGTTTTCAACATTTCGTGAGAATTTCACACAGGACAACAAAACACTCATTATTGGACATTTTATTGCTGAAAAACTAATTTCTACAATGGAACTACAATGGTAGCGTATGCTGGTAATGGAAAATAGGTCAATTCTGTTCCTCCATGACATGTAAGGAGCATGTTGAGGACCAGCATTTGTGATTCTGTGATACTGATACAGGAAACCTACAGACTGCACAGATGGGTGGCACTGTGTCATCTCTGTGTCATATATCAAGATTTAGAGTCTTCTTTTATTGTAAATCTGTTTCTTTTATTGTAAATCTGGCGAGGTTTCAGCTGTCATCTCCTTAGCCAAAGTCTCACTGTGCATGGCTGTGCAGAGCTGTCTAATTTACAGAAAGCTGACGTGAATGCAAAATGAATAAAGCTGATTTCAGTTGTGTGCATGTTTCTCTCTAAGATCTTCTGGCTAGATGAGGAGTTTTGACACTGTGTTGTTTTGCTCCCTGAGGGACTATTCCTAAAACTCCCATTGAGAAAAACTGAAGAGCTCTCTGTGTGAGTGTATTTTTGCATCTGTTTTGATTTTAAAAAATATATATATGCATGCACATCTCAGCCAAGGATTTGGTTTCAAAAGTGCCAAGACTGCAAAGCCTATTTCAATAGCCTGAGAAGTAGACAACAGATAATTGGCAGTGTTTTTTGTCCAAACAATAGAAGTCAATGGTAACCAAAACAGAACATTCTTCAAAATATCTTCTTTTGTGCTTCACAGAAGATTGAAAGTCATTCAGTTTTGGAATGACATCAGGGTAAGTAAAGGGTGCACTTTCCCTTTAAATGCTTCACTCTAAGCCACAACAATAGATTAATCAAATCAAGCTTATTCCATGGCTCACCTCTGCTATCTTACCTGTAATATTTGTGCCAAGAAATTTCATTATGAACCAGTCCTACAGCAGTCATAATTCAGTATACGACTTTCAATGATCTAGATCAGTGTCAGACATTGATCAGTGTCTGCTATTTGTCTCGCATTAATTGCTGGGTGCCAAGATTGAACCTTGGACAAACCAGCAAAGGGTCCAGAAGGAATATCAGACTGACAGACGGAGAGGAGCAGCAGAGCAGGTGAAACAACATGATTATGCACTATGTGGATACAATGTATGATGCAATGAAAATACTGTTGAGACAAAACTTAGAGGCACTTATAAAATCCCATTATATATCAGTTAGTTCCACTTTGAATGGTCAAACATATAGGTACATATTAACTTGCCAAATTTTGTCTGTAATTAAAATTAGTCAATATTTGGCGCGGCAAGCTTGGCAAAGTGACCATACAAATTTAGCCGTGTGAATGAGTAATTTCTCCCACAGTGCTTTAGATAAGCACTTTTAAATAGAAAATGCATGAAATTCACTTTTTGAAGTTGCATTCAAAATCCACTTGGCTTAGCAATCTGTGAGGTGTGCAAATGGGCATGAATGCTTTTGTTTCTTAAGGTGCTGTCACAAAAAAAGATCCATTGACTATTGGCAATACAATAGTGTAAAAATGTAATGTAGCACAGCTCACCTGGAGCCACTTTCGAATCAATCAGCTTTCTGTTGGTCAACGGAGTGAATCCATGTGACCAACTTGAACCCACTGTGAAATCTGCGTGGTGAAAACTTTCCCCCTCAAGCAAAATTCCTGATCGCATGGATGTCTATTGAATTGACTGGATTTCGCCCGGAAATAATAAATAAAAAAACGCCAAACAATGGTATATGTGGCACCTGCAGAAAAATCCAGTATTGCTGGTCACCAGTATAAGGTATGTTTTGCATGCTGGGACCAGCATGGGATGCTGGTTGCTGGTCACTAGCATTTTGCTTGAGAAAAGCATGACTATGCTGCTCCACCAGCTAGACAGCTCTAACCAACATAAACCAACCTGGATCAACATGGAATTCATTCTGGATTTTTCACCAGGGCCTGAAAATTTATTGCTGTTGTTATTATTCTCATCTGTTACCTTTAACAGACTCAGGGGACGTTCACACAGAATGTGTTTTTTCATTCCACTGCGCTATTTTTCCATTGTTTTTCAATGTAAACACGAGCTACCCTTACGAAAAAGAAGTATACTTCAAGTTCATTTTATGAAGTATACTTAAGTAATGTTCAAGTATACTAATGTCAATTTTAATACCGCTTGGGACTAAATTGGCCCACTTTTAGTATATAAAAGTATATGTTTAAGTGTACTATAAGTGTAACAGTAGTAAACTTTAAGTGCACAACTAGTTCATAATTACGTTTCTCATTTGTACTGCAAGTGAACTTATGGGTAAACTAGTAGTTTACTTTTTTAATATTTGTAGAAAATTTTTAGTTTATGAAAGTACACTTTAAAGTATACTTATAGCATAAAACTACTAAACTAGTTTACTGAGAGATACTAAAAGAAAACTTATAGTATAAAACTACTAAACTAGTAGTTTACTGAAAGTTTTCTTTAAGTGAACTTAACATTAGACTTAGACTTAGACTTATCTTTATTAATCCTTTTAGGAAGACTCCCGCAAGGAAATTGAAAATTCCAGCAGCAGTTTTAGCAAAGGAAAAAGAGAGTAGCAGAGAAAAGGAGAAAATACAGTACAACAGTACAATAATAATAATAACATTAACATTAATCAGAATATCAACAACCATAAATTATTTTAAAAATTGTCAATGTTAAGTCCACTGTTATAGTGATATAGTGACCAGGTATAATGTAAGTCCAGGTGTGTATGTATTGTGTGTATGTATGTGTATGTATGTATATGTATGTCATCTCTGCCCTATTTCCTCCTCCCCCCAAGTGAGGAGTTGTAGAGTCTGATGGCATGAGGGACAAAGGAGTCCTTGAGTCTATTAGTCCGGCACCTGGGAAGGAGCAGCCTTCCACTGAACCGGCTCCTCTGAGTACTGATGATGGTGTGCAGAGGGTGGCTGGCATTATCAATAATGTCCAGTAGTTTGCCCAGTGTCCTCCTCTCTGCCACCATCACCAGTGAGTCCAGCTTTATACCGATCACAGAGCCGGCCCGCCTGATCAGTTTATCCAGCCTGTTGATGTCCTTCTTGGATATGCTGCCCCCCCAGCACACTACAGTGTAGAAGAGGACACTGGTGACCACAGACTGGTAAAACATGAACAGCAGTTTGCTGCAGATGTTAAAAGAACGCAGTCTCCTCAGGAAGTACAGCCTGCTCTGTGTCTTTTTGTACAGGTAGCTTGTGTGTGTTGTCCAGTTCAGTTTGTCATCCAGCCGCAGTCCGAGGTATTTGTATGATTTGACTGCCTCCACCTCAATTCCCTCCAACAGGACCGGTCGCGGACTTGATCTGGTCCTCCCAAAGTTAACGACCAGCTCCTTTGTCTTAGAGGTGTTGAGCTGTAGGCCGTTAGTGCGACACCAGATAACAAAGTCCCCCACCAGACTCCGATACTCCTCCTCCCTATCACCCCCAATACACCCAACGATGGCTGTGTCATCCGCGTACTTCTGTACATGACACAGCTCCGAGTTATAACAGAAGTCCGAGGTGTACAATATACTTATAGTTTACTATTTATATATTTTATTTGCACTTGCAGTATACTACTATGTTTGACATGTTATTTTTTATACTTGAAAAATACTTTAACTGTACTTTAAATTAAAAAAAAAAACATTTTATTAGCTTCATGCATGCTTTTTTATCAACACTTGAATGTTGGCAAGGCAAGGCAAGTTTATTTATATAGCACATTTCATACACAATGGCAATTCAAAGTGCTTTACATAGAAGAAATTAAAATAGTTGGTAAGTTTCATAAAGAAAGGAAACATTTTAAACAAAAAAGTTGAGAAAATCTCATTTTTGTCAAAGACTATGCCTTGATCAGATTCAGAACGATAATCAAAACACAGATGGAGTAGATCGAGTCCAACACCCCCCAAGCTTCACAGTCGTTTTCTCTTCATGGGTTACGCTTCATTTCATTTGTTTACATTAAGCAGTTTTGATTTACACGCTGTTTAATGTTTGATGATCACGTTATTTTACATTTGCGTGAGCAATCTTCTTTCACTTGTTTCAGCTTCTTCTTCTCCTGTGTTTTTAATCCAGAGATTCTGCACTAGAAGATGTCATAGCGCCCCCTACCGTATAACAGTGAAAACATGGATAGCTGTAAAATTCAGTCAATGCGTAAAGCGTAAAGTAGAATTAAAGTAAATTCGTGTACACTACCAGTG